GAAGCGTGGAGCCCACCGGCACTTGAAAGGGGGAAAGGAACCATCTAGAAGAGATAGTTTAAAGACTCACCTTCTAGCATGCTGAGATTAGCATTGAGCCCTTCAACCTCACCAATGATGATGGGACAGAGCTGGCCGCAAAAGGAACAGAAGAAAGCACAGGTTACCATAGTATTCTAGAAACTTCTATTTATGGTTCCTGACCCTGCAAACTAACTGGGGCATCTGGGAAGAAGCCATCTGGTCAGGAGACCGTCTCTCGTGGGTCATGATGACCTTTCTTTAAATGAGTGCATGCCTGTGGACCTTAAGTTACTTGTGACTGAGGAGCAAGTCGCTGAACGCTGGCTCATCTTCATAGCAACTGGGACCACGCCCTGCCAAGCCCCATAAAAGAGCAAGCCCTCTGCTTTTCTCTCTGTGGCATGATAGGGCACGTGCCCCTGTCTGTGCTCCTGTTGTCACACCTGAGGAACCTGCTGTTCTGTGATGGTTCCTCTGCCCACGGCTGGGGGTGGCTCTGCCTTCCTCCTCCGCTCCTCTGGCTCCATGCCCTGCCTGGAGTGTTTAGAGCAGGAGCTTTGCCTTCCACTCCGGGCTCGTTGGAGAGCCCAGTAGATCTGAGGTCTAAGATAACCATGCTGTATGGAGGCTTCTTCCCCCTTTGGAATCCGAAAATTCTTTGTTGTCACTGTCGTCAGAGGGCGAATAAGGAGCCTTGGTGGCTCAGCAGTTTGCAATTGGTTGTTAACTTGAAGCAGTGGCTCTCAGCCTTCCTCCTGCCGCGACCCTTTCATACAGTTCCTCATGTGCTGGTGACCCCCCAACCATCAAATTATTTTCGTTGCTAATTCATAACTTTCATTTTGCTACTGTTATGAATCAGGTGATACCTGTGAAAGGGTCATTTGACCCCCCCCAAAGGGGTCAAGACCCACAGGTTGAGAACCGCTGCTCTAAAGGCTGTTGGTTTGAATCCACCAGTGAATCCATGGAGGGGTGGGGAGGTAGGGAGGCCAGACAATTATCTGCCATCAAAATGACTGCCCAGAGAGGCCTATGGAGCAGTTCTCCTCTGTAACACAGGGGGGCACCCTGAGTCAAGTCTGACCTGATGGCAGAGAACGACGGCAGATGGGTGATAACCAAATAATGCCCTCGGCTGCTCACAAAAAGGCCAATAATTCCAGTCCACCCAGAGGCACTTTGAAAGAAAGGCTACCAGCTTCTGAGAAATCAACCCATGGAAAGCCCTATGGAATGCAATTCTACTCTGATGGACACGGGGCCTTCATTGGTCAGTGGGCCCCTGGTGTAGAGTCGTGAAGATGGCCAATGCTGATGTCCCTGCTTTGGGCCCGGTGAGGTGCCAAGCACTCAGTGTCATAATGGTTAGGAGGGGAGTCTGTCATCACCACATGAGGAACTGTATTAAAGGGTTGCCACATTAGGAAGGTTGAGAACCCTGATTTGGGTTTCAAGTACTGGCTTTCAGTCAGCATCCACTCATTGCCAAACATGGAGCTGAGCCATTGGAGTGGAGACACTAGACATGGTCCTTATCCTTCCGGAACACCAAGTCTCCCTACTCTTCCAGTCTTCCTCACCCCTGTCCTTGCTTCCCCTGCAATAATGGGAAGGGTCCCTGGAAGTCACTGGGCATCACTGGAAAGAGAATCCACTCACAATTCAGTCTTTCTTCTTTGATGCTCCTAGACTTAGTAGACACTTAAAGCTTTGGAAGATGTCTTAACTTTCTTCTCCCCTTCTCCTTTCCTGTCCAAACTCTACCCATGCTTCAAGCTTTCTTTCAAAGCTTACATTCTGTAAAAAACTTCTCTCCCTAAAGGTCCTATTTCTTTTTGTTTGCTTGTTTATGTGTGTGTGTGTGAAAAGTACAGCACCACATTCGCCAAGTCATAATTTTCCATGTATACAATTCACTGCGATACATTACATCCATTGTGTTCGGCAACCATCATCAACGTCCACGGCTAATTTTTTTTTAAAGCCTCATCAATAAAACCCCAATTTGTTTCCCATTACCCTCCCTCTAGCACCTGGTCACCACTATCTCTTTATTTCATTTTTCCCATTTCTTGGTTCAATCTACTGATCATGTCATCAAGCACTATATTGGTGTCCTTGCTCAGTTATAGCGTGACTAACCTGAGTTTGTTTCTCCTAACTAGATGATAAGCTTATTCCTCTTTTGCATTCCCAATAGACACTGTCCCAGCGTCGGGCATACAGTAGGCAAATAATAGATGAGACCTTGTCAATAGTTTGCCCTCCACATAACCTCCCACACTGTTTGTACCCAGTAGGTAGTTGAGAAACGATGATGAAGTGGTGTATGAAAGTGATGTATGAAAATGTGTAGCATGGCTCCTGGAAGTGATGTATGAAACTGTGTAGCATGGCTCCGGACCGTAGTAGGTATTGGTCAGCAAAGATTGAGTAGCTAAGGATAAGGATCGGTTGAATGATAGCAGTAGTACCATCGATGGCCTTTGATGGGTGACATTTGACTTTGAGCATCTACTCGCTCAAGACTCACCATTTCATTGAGGTTCTTTAAAATGGGTTTCTCCATGGGCTCAGCAAACGTGTTATATAGGACACTAGGGAAGAGAACAGAAGTAAGGGCTTACTTAGGGGTCACAAGCTGTACACGATACATCTTCCCCAGACGAGTCTGCCCTGGTCCTCACGCTCACCTGAGCTCTCCAGAGAATGAGACCTGGGCGTGGCTCACCTGGGCCTGGCAGTCTTGGAGCATAAGCATTGGATGACCAAAGTCATTTCGCGTCAGGACAAGCAGACCCTTGAAGAAGGCCTCCGTGAGAAACAGATCGGCTCCTCCTGTATCTTGGCTGTTGAGGGAAAAGGCACAAGGTGAGCCCAGTCTGGGGAGTTGGGGGAGCTGGGCTCTGGGTCTGTGATTCCCCACAGAATCTCGGCTCCGGGAGAGCAGGGGCTGCCTCTGCGTTCCCAGGACTACAAACAGGTGTGGCTTAGAGTAAGCACTGGATGGACATGGGCTGGATACATCATTTTGCATCCATGATTGGTGACAGCGCTAGGGAGCTTGGGGTTTTCCACGCCATGTGCTTTGGCCCTGGTGCCAGGAGAGCACATCTGGAGCTCCGCACATATACAACATTTGGGTGGAAAAAGTGGGAAGCGAAATAGGCAGCATCTTATTCTGGAGGGGCCTGGCTCTTACACGGAGAAAGCCACACGTAGAAACAGTCTTCGAGCTCCTTGTGGGGATGGGTGTGTGTCAATTGCCCACCTGTCCCCAGGACTTAGTGCCTGGTTGCTGACTCAGAGAATAACCAATGAGCACATTCTCTTATGTTCTTCTTGGAGGGGAAAGAGCCCCAGGGGGGTGCAAATGGTTAAGTATTTGACAACGAGCCCCAATGGTTGGCGTTCATACACACGCAGAGGTGCCCCAAAGGCGGGCCTGATGATCTGCATGAGAAAGGCCATGGCCTTGGAAGTCCAATGGCACAGTTCTACTGTACACACAGGGGATGGCCATGAGCCGGAACAGACTGGCAGGCAACCCCACCACTGAGGGGGACGTGTGCCGAGGGAGGTGCTCAGGACCAGCCAGAGACTCGTAGCTGGATGAAAATGCGGAGGCTCACCTCTGTTGCTCTGACAGTCAGGGACCTCAAGCTCTTGCAGGAGCTTCAGTGGCATTTTGCTCAATTGCTCTGTCGTTAATAGGAACATGCTTTTCAGAACCATCAGGGTGAAGACCCCTCCACCCCCCACCCAAACCCATACTGTCGAGTTGATGCCAACTTAACTTATAGCAACCCCATAGGGCAGAGGAGACTGGTCCCATAAGGTTTCCAGGGATGTAATTTTTATGAAAGGAGCCTGCCACCTCTTTCTTCAGCAATGTGACTGGTAGGTTTGAACCGCCAACCTTTTGGTTGGCAGCCTGAGCACTTAGCCACTGTACCACCTTAGAGCCATAATACCTTGGTTTCAATCTCTCCTGGAGGAAGAGTGCTCTTGGTGAGAGTTACCCATGAGGAAGGGCAAGACATCTAATGTTGAAAACATGGGCGAACTGATACATTCTCCTTTGTTCCCTATCTTCCCACTCAGGGAGCAGACAATTGTGGACTACTCACAAGAGCGGAGACTTGACGTCCCAGTGGGTGCTGATGTTGGCCATGCCATGATTGGTGAGTACTTTGATCCCCATGCCAGGCTCGAAGGCCAGGGAAGTGTTTGGAAATGAAAAAGCCTTGATTTTTATGCTGCAAAACAAGAAACAGAGGAGTGAGTACAGGCCTTGCAGTGCATCTCGAAGTCAAGCAAAACGGGAACCCAGCTTTAGAACTCCTGATGGTCCACTGAGAATTCCTAGCGACGAGGCACCTCCACCCACCTCTCGGTGGGTTGTGCTGTGGTGGCTTGTGTGATGTTGTGAGCCATGGTGGAGCGATGTCATCAGAGATTCCCGACCCAGGCAGACTAGCAAGAAAGACCTGGATGTCTACTACTGAAAATTAGCCCCCCCAACCCCCCCCCAAATCACACACAAAAAAGAAAACCTTTTGGATCTCAACAGAACATTGCTCATCTGCTGACTTTGGATATGTCCTCAGGAGGGATAGTATGTCCTCAATCACTGGGGAAGTAGAGGGCCAAGCAGGGTGAGGGAAACCCTCAACCATATGGACTGAGGCCAGAGCTGCAGTTTTAGACTAGCATAGAGGTTCTTAACCTGTGGGTCGCGACCCCTTTGGGGGTCGAATGACCCTTTTACAGGGCCGCCTGATTCATAACAGTAGCAAAATGGCAGTGATGAAGTAGCAATGAAAATAATGTTATGGTTGAGGGGGGTCACCACCACATGAACTTTATGAGAGGGTTGTGGCAGGAGGAAGGTTGAGAACCACTGGACTCGCACGTGTGATGACCCGGGGGATGATGCTCAGCCTGGCAATGTTTCATTGTGCTGTCCATCAGGCCTCTGGGAGTCAGAATTGATAGGGCGGTCAGTATATGTCTACCGACCTGCTTCCCTCCCCACCTAACTCCATCAGTTCATCTTCCCAGCCAGCAGAGGTTTCTGTGCTGCCTCAGGATACCCTTCAAGCCCTGGGCAAGAAGCCCCTTTGGCTAAATTGAGGGGGGAAATGGGCATCCATGAAATAAATGCTCAAACAATAAAACTATTGAATTTTTGATAGCTTCTTTACAGCCCAAAAGATACAACCTCACCACTATTACTTTTTTCCTTCAGCAGTACTCGGGGTTTCTCAGTGGGGATGATATTAATATTTGGGGTTGGATAGGACAACTATTTATGTAGAGGACTGTCATGAATTTTGGAGGGCATTTAGCATACATGCTAACTAAATGCCAGCAGTCCCCCCATCCCTAGTCACTGGGACAAGCAATGTTTCCAAATGGCTCTATGCTGGCAATAGCTTCACTAGATGGGAACCTTGTTTTAGAGAGCGAGCTTCCCCTAGGGTTCTCGAGACTGTCAAATAGGTATCGAGGAGGCAATGGGTTGCACGACATCTCAACTGATAATTGACCACATCCTTCCAGATAACTTATTATTAGGGACAGGTATGGAGTGGTTACTACCTACCTGCCAGGCTCTGTGGTAAGCACTTTGCATACATTAGCCCACTTTAACTCACACAACAACGCATTGAGGGAGTTGCTTATTTTGCAATCTCGAGTTCAAAGACGAGAAGGTAAGGAATTTGGCTGAGCTCACGTATAAGCCGTAGAACCAGACATCTCCAGACAGTGTTCTGAACCACTAGGCGATGCCACTTTGTGCTTTGTGCACTTGACGTGGAGCCAGGTGTTGTATTAAGCTGTGCAACCTCGGGCAAAGTACTTACCCTCTTTCAGTCAATTACTCAGAGAAAGTATTACTCATGGGGAAGGTTGGGAAGTTGTCTCTGCTTTCAGCCAAGCCCCATCTGATATCAGCAATGATATTGCTTGTCCCACAGCCTCTTCTGAATTTCTGGCAGTTCCGTGTAATGTACTGCTATAGCCATTTTCAAATTAGCTTCCGCGAACTTTTACTTGTATGTGATAGGAATGATATTGTTTGATACAAATGATCTTGTTCAATAAATTCTGCATTCTGTTGGTTCGCCTTTCTTTGGCACGGATACAGGGATGGATCTCTTCTCCTTGGTTCCAAATTTCTTGGCTCAGATGACTGAGCACCTCCAGCACTCCGTCCACCTGTTCCAGCATTTCTACTGGTGTTCTGTCAATTCCTACAACCTTATTTCCCACCAAAGTGTTCCATGCAGCCCAGACTTCTTCCCTTAATAGCATTGGTTCTTGAATTATTACTATTAACATTAATGAGGAATATCATTGCTAATATCAGCTGGAGCTTGGCTGAAAGTAGAGAATAACCTGAAGGTGTTTATGGGGGGTTTCATCGACCATGCAAAAGCATTCAACCAGGTGGATCATAACACATCTTGGATAACTTTTGGACGAATGAGAATTCCAGAACACTTAATTGTGTTCATGTGGGACCTGTAAATGGACCCAGACACAGGCATTGGGACAGAACCAGAGGAGACTGGTGTTGTTAGCTGCTGTCCAGTCAGTTCCGCCTCATAGCAACCCTGTGGACCACAGAGGGAACCCTTGTGCCATCTCACAATTGCCCATCATTGCAGCAGTGCATCAATCCATCTCACTGAGGGCCACACTCCTTATCACTGCCTTTCCACTTTACCAAGGAGGATTCCTTTGCCAGGGACTCCTCTCCTGATACCGTGTCCACAGGCTGTGAGACCAAGTCTTGCCGTCCTCACTTCTAAGGAGCATTTTTGCTGTACTTCTTCAAAGGCTGATTTGTTTGTTCTGGTACTTTTAATGTTCTTCACCAACATCGGAATTCAAGGACAGCAATTCTTCTTTGGCCTTCCTTATTCATTGTTTGGCCTTCACCTGCATCTGAGGCAATTGGCTTGTGTCAGGTGCATCTGAGTCGCAAAGTGACCTTTTTCACTCTGTAGAGTTTACGTAGGTCTTGCACATCAAACTTCAATGCACCCGGTTTACTGGCTACTGCTTCTACAAGTGTTGATTGTAGAGCCAAGTAAAACGAAATCCTTGACAACTTCTTTCTTTTGTCTCTTTATCATGAGGTTGTTTATTGGTGTAGTTGTGGGGATTTTTTAAATTGAGTTGTAATCCATTTTGAAGAGGTTAGTCTTTGATCTTCAGGGGTAAGTGCATCGAATCCTCTTGACTTTCAATGAGCGAGGTTGTGTTATCTGCACATCTCAGGTTGTTAAGAGCCTTCCCCCAATCCTAATGCCACGTTCTTCTTCATATAATCTGGCTTCTCAGATCGTTTGCTCAGTACGCAGATGGAATACGTATGATGAAATATTGCATCCTGATGCACACCTTTCCTCATTGTAAACTAAGCAGTATTCCCCTCTGTTGGAATGGCTGCCTTATGGTCTATGCAAGTTCTGAATGAGCACAATGAAGTATTTTGGAATTCCCACGTGTCACAATGTTATCTGTAGTTTGTTATGATCCAAATAGTCACATGTCTTTGCATGGTGAATGAAGAACAAGTAGACCCCTTCCTAGTAGTCTCTGCTTTCAGCCAACACCTGTCTGATGTCAGCAATGGTACCCATCATCCAGTGCCCTCTTTTGAATCCAGTTTGAATTTCTGGCAGCTCCATGGACTATTGTAGCAGTTGTTTGAAATATCTTTAATTGCATGTGATAGTGCTAATATCATTTGCTAATTTCTGCATGCTGTGGGATCACCTTTCTTTGGAATGGGCACAATCGGTTGGCCATGAAGCTGTCCTCCAAAGTTTTGGGCCTCGATAAGGAGAGTGCTTCCAGTGTTTCATCAACTTGATGAAACACTTCAGTTGGTGTTCTATCAATTCTTAGAGCCTTTTTTGGGAGGTGGAGGGGGCGTGCTATGGATCCCTGGTGGCCTCGTGGTTATCTGTGGGCTACTAACCCAATGGTTAGCACTTCAAAATCACTAGCCGCTCGGTGGGAGAAAGGTGAGGGGTTCTACTCCCAGAAAGAGCAGCAGTCTGGAAACCCACAGGGCCACTTTGCCCTGTCCTTTAGGAGTGCTATGGTCTTGCTGTGGGTTTCTGAAAGCTATAAATATTTACAGGAGTAGAAAGCCCCATCTTTCTCCCACACAAGGACTGGTGGCATTGAACTGCTGACCTTGTGTTTAGTAGTCCAATGCATAATCACTATGCCATTTGGGTCTTAGTGGCATTATAGCACTAGGGCATGGTAGAAAAGATTATAATCATCCACAGAATTCTTTTTAGGAAAAGAAAAAAA